GATTATGCTTTTTTACTTGTATTACAATGCAATATAAACAATTTAAATTTGGATATTTTCTCTTATATGTTGTATGCCAAATGAGACTTTGAATGTTTCTAATAATCTTGTGTATATTCAGAAAAGTGAAACAAGAAATACATGAATAGGTGTGAATTGGATGGTTGCATATGGCTTCATGTAAATGAAACTTTTCTCATGCGTTATTCTTTTGCAGACTCATACTGTTTTTATCTGTAAGATTTGTAGCTTTCTCATTTACACTTTTCTCTTGTATCTACAGATATATTTCGTGTGTCCACGTAGAAAAATGTAAACGTGGCTAAATGCTATGGACAAGGAAGGATGTGGCAGACACGCGCATTTTATCCGAGTTATCATCAAAACTCAAAACTCAAAAGATGCATGCTTGTTCGATTGGAAGCAAAAACAAAGTTTCACTAGAGTGGTGACAGTTTTTAAATTAACGGTTTAGTTTTGACTTTTGACCATGATTGGTGATCTTTGCAAATGACAAATAAAATTACATTTCACACATCAATAGTTCTATTGATCGTTGTTTATTTTTATTTTTGATAGCATTTAGATATTTCGATCTATAGAATAACCATCTGTTCCAAAGAAAGTTTAAATCCGGGAAACTAGAAATCCAATTCATTGTGTTATTACTAGGTCACTACACCTTCAATTTCGTTGTTATTTTTCGAAAATGTTGCTTTCCAAAAACAAGGGTTCAAACCTTTCTCAGCAGGGGATTCGTTTTGGTTGAAGACGTATGAGTTACTATCTACTCTTCAACGAACGAAGTCTTTCATCGATGTTAAGAAGCAATTGCGAGATAAACAATACCGAATTTTTTTTTTTTTTAAGGAACCAATACCGACAATCTTGCACGAATGCTTATAATCTATTTTGATTTTGAATGAATTTCTTTTGGTGAAATGTTTATTTTATATTAAATACGTATTGTAGTCAAAACTTCGAACAACCATAGAATTGAATAATTATGATGTAGTTATATGGGAAATTTAAGGTAAGTAAGGTTTAACATTAGAAAAAAATAAGGCTAACTTTAAAAAAATAAAAATA